TTAGTGATGACCCACTACCTGTGCCTACCCTGATTTTAACCCTTTTATCCCTTCAGTACTAAATAATTTAAGCAGAAATGTGTTCTATGTTTTATTTTAAGAAAAAATTCAATGCTTGCTTTGAGACTTGCATGTGTGGATTTCCCTGCTTGCTGGGCTGCCATTGCAAAAAGACGCATGCTTCTTGCTGCAGCTTGACTGACTGGCAGTGCTGATGCGTGAAGAAGAAAACCTTGATAATTTCAATTCCTTTAGCGTTCTAACACAAAGGATGGCTTTATCCATTGTGAAGAGATCTGGAAACAGATAAAGATTGTTAACATTGAATGAATAGATGTAGTGCAAATAATCAGGATGTAATAAAAGACAAAATGTCCAAAGCCATAGTGATAGCTCTTCTTTCTTTTTTTTTTTCTTTTCTTTTTGTAGCATAGGGGAGGGAGGAGATGAAAGAAACATTATCCAAGCCTCCTTTTGCTATCAACCCCGCTTGAATAAAGAACGACTGGAAGAGCTGCTCTGTAGCAAATGGTATTAGTTTCTGTTCATCAGTGGGAATTTAGATTCCAAGGCTTATTTGTAGGATTCAGCATTTTTGTAACAGCTACATGTAAAGAGGAAAGCAAGCAAAAGAAGTTAGACATTTACCTACTTATGCTTTTTTTTTTTGCCAGCTAGAAAAATAAATAACGCTGTATTTAAGTGCCTATATATTGGTACTACATGCTGAGGACCCCTAGGACTGAAAGTTTCTGCTGATCCCATTTCTGGTTTAATAATGGGAAGCCTTCCTGTGAAGAAAATAGCATAGAGATTACAAAACTGATTGTCTATTGAAAGAGAGTTCAGATTCTGGAATTAGTGCAAGTAAAAGATGCTTGCAGTGTCAGATGCTGCTCTGATGTGGCACATGCAGTAGATGCGAACTGAGCCTGTAACAGTTCTAATCCAAGCACTGCAGCTGTTTGGAACTAGGAGGAATTGCTGAAGTTTAAATAAAAAAATCTATGTGTGGGTCTTAATCCCCTATGCAGGGAACAGGTAGCAGGTGTAATAGTAATCTGTGTAATCTGCTAGTGCGTATTAAAGAGAAAGTCACAGAGAAGTCATTGCTTCCTGTCCTCAGCCTGTTTCATACCTGTGCCCATGGATATCCTCTCTCTCTGTTGTTAAAATTTCAGAGTCCAGAAAATCACTTGCCGCTCCCTGGAGTCCTTAGAAGGCTATTTCCTGTATAGATCAGACCATTAAGGTATGAGGGTTCCTGCTATTCTTCCTTGCTTACACAACACTGAATCAATGGAAAAGCAATTAAAAGATACTGTGTCACTTTTTAGTCTCTTTTTTTTTTCCCCCCTATGAAGAAATTCTACACAGGGAGAAATTTCAGAGCTGGCCTACCAAGCTGCAGTTTAGAATTTGTTTTGCAGGTGCTTGCTAACCTGAGTTAGGCCATTACGCCAGAATTGAAAGAGTTCAGGCCTCCTTCCACTGCCCAGGCCATGAATCAGCAGGGCATCGTGGGGCGTCTGCTGGCATCTGCCCCGTTGTTCCTCCAAAGCAGGCTGAGCACACCCCATGGCACAGCTCTCTTCCCTCTCCAGCTTTTTCAGATACGGAGAAGAATTGTGTGAATCACTAGGAGTTAGGGCTCTAGAGCTCTTGTACGTTCTTGCCTTCCATCGCCTGTAGTTTTGGTGATGTCCCTGTGAATAACTTGCTTCATCTGCTTCTTTTAGGCAATGGTTCGGTGACGCTGAGTTCCAGCAAAAATACAGTTTTCTATTGTGCAGCTTGTGTTCCAAACTGTGTTGTCTGATCACACGTGCGGGCATCCCCTTGCTGTTACACAAAGGCTGCTGTGCATTGTACATTGGATCATTGATCTGGTGTCATGAAAAATTGGGAGATGGGGCATGTTTCTTGGGTTTGTCTTGTTTTGAAGTTAGGTTGGTTCATGATCCTGCCCACAGCCCATCATGACAAGCTGTGACTCAGCTGAAGTGTGTGGGAATTCTAGGGGGATGACTAGGGGCTCCTTGAGCTGATACTGTTTGACAAACCCGTTCTTTCCTCAAACCAGTGTCAACCAGCAGTGCTGGAACACTTACCTGAAACTCTGTGTTTGTTCACAACTATCTCTGCACTTTTGTAGAATGTCAGGGGAACCTGGTCGTAGTCTTATCAAAGCCATTGCAGCAACAGAAGCACAGTCTCTTTTCAAGCTCAGGAAGATGGCAGAATGTCCATTTACGTTTTTGGTAAGTTTGTTAAATTTAACCATAGGGCTAGAATTTCAGTCTGTGTTTCTAAATCATCACCTAAATTTTGTAGAAATTGGTGCTTGAAACTCGGCCTGGCTTTCATTTTACAGGTAGCTGCATCTCTAAGATGTCTTAAAAGGTATAGTTATGGCTTCCAGTTTTAGACATAAGGAAAAGATTTAGTTTATTTTTATGGCTCAGAAGGAGAAATCCAAAGGTTAACAGTTGATATATCAGATGTTGCTTGGTACATGTATCTGCTCTTTATTTTTGCATTTCCTTTTCTCTGCTTCTTCAGGTGTCATCTTGACATGAGTACATTCAAGCTTGGCACTAAGGAGTATAAGAAACTTGCTTGTAAGGGTGCAGAAAAGAAACTGCAGCATCCTTGTGTGTATCAAAATGCCTTGTAAAAGCTCTTTAGAGAGTGAGAATTCAATTCTGTGAAACAATTTTTGTAAGCAATTGGTACAAGCATGGAAAACAACACCTCTGCACACTGTGCAAGCACAAGATACACAGATTATAGTGCAGTTAATATTAGTAAAGAGAATGGTTATGTCTAATTAGTAGTGCAGGATAGGTGAGAAGGTTTTTGAAGTGCCCTGCTCAGAAGAGGCATTAATCCAGTAATATCCAAGCAGTAAACCCTGTAATGCTTTTCTAAATGGCCTGGTTAGTCCTGAGGGTGTTTGGGCTTTATTGTTGCACAAGTAATTTAATGAACTTTTAAAGAGACCTCTAGGCAACAGGCCAAAGTCAGAAGGGTGGAGGGGAAAATGCTGATGGACAGTCCTACTGAGCTAGAACACAGTGGCTGTGAGGGAAAAGCTGCTGAATGGGCTGGTGGCTGAAAGAAGTAAAGCAACTGAACTTGGACTCGCTAATGGGCTTTTTGTCCAAATTGGAGCCATCTCTTTCTTTAGGAAGTTATTTGTGTTGGAAATCGGGCCACAGCCAGGCTGGAGCAGGAAGGAAGAGGCAGATAGTGATCTCAAAATGGTGTGCTCTGGGTGCAGAATGACAGCTGTGGAAGAAGTAGCTTGGCTGCGAGGGCATTGAACTTGGCAAGAATGCTTCTTCAGCTCCTTGCGCAGCTGAAAATCTGGTGTCATGCTGGAACCTTTGGAGCGGAGCTGAGGGAGCCTGGAGAGGTGTCGTGGTGGTGAGGCTCCCTGCCCATTCAGCGAAGGAGTCAGCAGCCCTCCTGAGGCTACACATGCCCTCCTGCAACCTCTCTGTGCTCCACAAAAATGCAAAAATGTGCACTCAACTCAGCAGAGGAGTACTTGTCACCCTTTTCCTGTTCCCAGCCTGGAAAAGAAGAGAAGCCTCTTACCTTCTGACCAGTGGTTCCAAGCACTTCCCCAGCCTTTCCTGAAGTGTTACAGGCCTTTTGTGCCATGTTACTGTATCTGCTTTGCTGAAAGGGATGTTGAAGCAGCAAAGGAGTATAAGCTTTCTTTTTCCAGCGATGCAGATTGGCTGTACTGGAGTCAATAAAGAAACCAGAATTTGCACCTTCCTTCCTGTGACCTTTAAATCATGCGTTTACCTATATTGAGAGGTGCCAGTGACATCATTTGTGCTTTAGCTTGGCAATTGGATGGAAAAGCAATCTCATTTTCCTGGTCTGATTCATCGGTCCCTAATGACAGGTTACATGTTAATACTTGTTTTCAGCAATTATCATGCAGTTGTGTTTTGACTGGAACCTGGTAGCAAACATGAGTGAGAAGAGCTTCAGACTAAGGCCTAATAGTGCAGCAATGATACTTTTTGTTTGCCTGTTTGAAAACAGTTCCCCCACAGTTGTTGTAGTCCTTTTCTAAGGCGAATAGATCAAAGGTAATTGTCGGTTTTTTAATTCTGTTTCAATGCTTTTAACAATGCTTTATATAGCGTCAGTTTTGTTGCTGCTCCGTCGTTACAATCATTATTACTATAGGGCATAAAGTATCAAATTCAGATCACAGTTGTGTTGTGTAGGAACCATATAAATGTGCAGTAAAGAGAGAGTCTCTGTCACAAAGTGTTAGTGGTGTCTAGAGAGACGAGGCAGAGAAGAAATGCATGATTCAGCAATGTGCCCCTGTCACACAAAAGCTCAGTTGCAGAGTCTGATACAGAGCAGTTCTTCAAATAGGAAGGTACACATTTCTTGTGTACAAGGTTGCAGGATCAGGAAAGATGAGCTCTTGCCTTCTAGAGATTAGCGCCTTCAAAATAAACTGGCCTGCATGTGACAGAGAAAGAGGTTCAAGCACCTAGATAGTCAGTGGTCCCTTTCTGACCTTGATGGGGTCAGAAATTTATGTAGTATTTAAATAACACATTCAGAGTCAGTATGAATGTCCTCATTTTAAATCTCACTCAACTTAAAGGATTTGCATTGCACCTATGAGTCTCTTTTCCCAGCAGCTGGGAGACAGGTGGGAGGGTTATTGACCTTAGCAAAAGGGATTCTCCTCTGTTTGCAAGTACTGCAAACAAGTAGGAAGAAAATGGCTGTTTCCCACCCAGAGGTGGGTGAAATAGGTCTGTCTCCATCTCAGATTCAAAATCTCTCCTCACTGCCACTCAAGGTCCTTCCAGTTCCAAGGGACTAGTTGTTTCTGTATTCCTTCTGTATGTGAAGCTGGATAGTCCAGAGGTGGTGAAAGTCTTGTGATGGATTGGCATCCTTTGGCTGGAGAAAGCGCTAAGAGTAGCCTTTGCCATTATCTTTGAGCTCAAATGCATGTAGGTGCCAATTTAAAGCAGAATGATGCTAGCTCACTGACATTGCTCTCTCCTGTTTCTTTACAGCTCTTGTATGACAACCCAAAAGCCCGTCAGGAAGTAGAGTATCACTGGCGAGCATCAGGGTGTCCCCACATTGTCCATGTCCTGGATGTGTATGAGAATATACATCATGGAAAGAGATGCCTCCTCATCGTCATGGAATGGTATGGACCAGCAGCATCCCTCCACCAAGCATTGCTCTTTGAAGGGGTGGAGGGAGTGGGAGAATGTGTTGGCCTAGATGAGAGTTAGGTGAGCTTTCTCAGCAGCACGATTTTGGTTTACATAGCAAATCTTTTGTTGTCTTTATGGAAATGGTAGGGAAATGTATAGCTGCTTCAGCCGTCTTGTATGATGGAAGAATGAGGAACCTTAACCAGAAAATACATTTTCCTTGTACTCCATGACAATTGTCCTCATTGAAGCATTGACTAAGTAATATAATCTTGAAAGATATGTCTCTACAAATATGATGCACTTCGATTGTGATTGGCTTCCAACTTCAGATGTAAATCCAGTGATCTGACATGATCCTTTTTGCTGCTGTTTTGACTCTAACTATTCCTATTCCTTCCTTGATCTGTAATACCAAGTTATTGTCTTTTTCACTGTGCACAAATTAATAATCCTTTTCAGTATCTTTGCTTCCTTCTTTCTTTTTTCTTCATCTCTAACCCTTACATAAAACAAGATTACTGTCAGCCTGCCAGCATATCTGACTTCCCAACTAAGTGTGTCATGTTCCTTGTGACAGGGTACATTAAACCGAAAGCATCAAAACTCCTTGGTCGTCTTTTGTTTTCTATTTATTCCATATCAGAATGGCTTTGTGCATTGATTCAAATGAGCGTGATGTTTGGGAAGCATTGGCATAGGAGGCAGCCTGTAATGTTTTCTAATCTGTTCCTGCCGTGGTTCTATGTGATTATATGGATGCAGAGTCAGGTGTTAATGTGATCTTTTTCTGCTCATGTAAGGTGAGGTGTTTTTCTTGTGTTCTTTGTTTCAGCATGGAGGGAGGAGAGCTGTTTAGCAGGATCCAGGAGAGAGGAGATCAAGCTTTCACTGAGAGAGGTGAAAATCACAAGTTTAATTTTAAAGTTAATGAAAGATTGCTTGTGCCTTTCTCTGTCCCCTTGCTTAGTTCCCTTACAGAAATTTTTCTTTTATTTGATTTTTTTTTGCAATTTTTAATTTTTTTTTTTAATTATTTTTCTGTCCAACTTTGTATTAAACAGTTATCTTTGAAGGTTTCTGAAAATCAGGAATTACCAGAATTGGCCAAGTTCAGGCACAATGTGGAAGGCTGAGAGTAAAATTCTTCATACAAATCTGCTCAGGTTCTTCATTTCTGAACCACTGCAGCCTCTGTTACTCTACTCCCTGGTCTCCTGCCAGACCACCTCTGACATGATCAACGCAGCTCCTACTGTGATTTCTCTTCTGGCTGTCCCTCAAGCAGCATCACTGTGCACAGCTATACTATTAGGTGATGAATATGATAAGCAAATTACATTTGATGAAACATCTCTTATTCAAGGTTTTTAAAGTACTACTTGAAAGGAAATGTTATTAGCCACACTGTAAACAAGCCTGCTCATCTATAATAGGGACTATGTGCAAGTTTAAAGACCTGCTATGAGTCAGTGACAGAGCTTGCAATAGAATAGTCTTGCCATTTTTATTGTCTTTGCTATTTATTATTTGCAGAGTACCACAGGTGTGCTTGACTGTGGTTCTTCTTGCCCATTCACAACAGACAAGAGCTTGTTTTTCCTCAGGAGTAAAAATGTTAGTGTTTGTAACTAGCATGCTGACAAAATGATTAAAAGAAGAAAAATTTACACCTGAGCTTGTAAATTACTGTGAGTGTTTTGCAAGTCTGGTATAGAGGCCAGGTTTTTTTTTGATCCTGTGTTTCCTAGCCTGGGATGAACCCTTTAAGTGGTATGAGAGACTCGTGT